GACGTCCAATTTTCATTTATAGGCAATTCCATTGTCGTATTTAAAATCCCTCTTGTCTCATTTTGCGTCCACGCAATGAGGGTTTCACTTGTTTTGGGAAGATCTGTTAGTTTCTGGTGCGTCGAAGAAGTTGGCATTGATGTAACGTTCAATTTCCATGTCGATGGCGAATGTGCCATTGTGGACGATTTCATTGTCGTTCTTGAAAATTCTKTCGTGTCATTTTTTGTCGAAGCATTGACAGTTCCATTTGTGTTGGAAGGTTCTGTTGGTATAGTTGAGACGTTCAATTTCTCTGACGACATCGAATGTGCTGTTGTAGACGATTGCATTGTCGTTCTTAAAAGATCGGTCGTGACATTTTGTGCCGAAGCAATTGCAGTTACATTTGTCACGTTAGTTGTTGTAGCGTTCAATGCCGATGGCAAAGGCGTTATTGTTGACGATTCCAATGTTGTTCTAAGAAGCTCTCTGGTGCCATTTTGCGTCGCCGCATTTAGATTTTCAGTTCCTTCAGGTCCACTATGTGCGTCATGATGTGGAGCAGTAGTTGGTCTAAAAGTAGCATTTAATGTTTCTGTCAATGGTAAAKGTGTCTTTTCAGACGATATCTTTGTTGCATTCACATTTCCACTAGTCTCTGGTCTTGCTGTTTCATTGRTACTTGAAAAATTCGTCTTTGAAGAAGAACTCGTTGATGTCATTGGAATGCCAGTTGTATTTAAGATATTATCACTTGTATTTTGGTGGACTGTTCTTTGCTTATAAATGGAAGTTGGCCTCGTCGTTTTAGGTAGCTCCCCAGTTGCATTTTCATGCTTTCCTGTTTGATAATCTGTTGCGTTTACATTTAATTTTAYTGTTTTTGGAGTTGACGKAGATGGTGATATTTCTTTTGAGCTATCGTCATTCTTTATCGGACGAGCTGTCCCATTAACCGTTGYATTTTCTATCGAATCCTTGAATCTATGGTCTGTTGTAYGTTGTATCGTTGTGYTTAGGTCTCCCATCTCTGTTRGGGTAAGTTCATTTTTGTTTGGACTAACGGTCCCATTCTGGTTAAAGTTGTGTTTACTTGTTGTATTCCAATTTTCTGCACTTTTGGTTGGCATTGATGTTGYATTTACATTGTTGRTGTTAACAGACTTTTTGTTTGCKTCCCTGAGATGAGYTCTATCTGTGGTGATGTTTCCAGCACTGGTGCTKCCATCTGAAGTGGCATGACTTTTCCAAGACGGACTTGCCATTGTTGTAGGGCTTTTGACAGTTCCTGATGCATCATCGGTTTTCCCATCATGTCCATTAACTATCAGTTCATTTGTTGGAGTTGGCCCTGCTGAGGGTTTTACAAGAGTTGTCAAAGTCATCGTTACAGCGTTAGTTGTTTTTAAACTGGAATTTGTATCATTATTCTCACTGATCACACTTCCATTCAATACCACTGTAGGTACAATCATTTCAGTTGACATTTCCAGATATTTAGTTTTAGATAAATTTTCAGCTGTTGTATGTGCTTTTGTCGCTGGTACATTGGTAGTCACGCCTCCGTCGTGACCATTAAGTATACCGTCTTTTCCTATTGTACTTGCCAGTTTTGTGGACTGCGTTACGGGAGAAGTGAMAGTGCTTGTCACGATCTCCTCGTGACCATTAAGAACACCTTTTTTTTCAAAAGTAGTTCCCATTGTGGTGGACTGTGTGACGGAAGAAGCGACAGTGCTTGTCACGCTCCCATCGTGAGCATTAATAACACGTTGTTTTTCAAGTGTACTTCTCTTTGTGTTGGACTGCGTTACATCAGAAGAGACAGTGCTTGTCACACTYCCAATATAACTGTCAAGCACACCATTCTTTTTAATGGTTCTTGCAAGTGTCGCTGATTGCGTGGTAGAGACATCATTCACTGTTGAATTAGACGTGCTTCTATGACTACCATGATCGCTTGCAACTGCCCCTTGCGTGACACTCTCATGTGTTGTAGAAACAGTAGCTTCTTGATGTCCAAACAACACGTCGTTGGATTTAGAAGTAGTTKGTATCGTCGCGGGGTTTGGTGTTGTTGGTTGTGATGATGCTGAAATACCATTACCAAAATGAATGTCTAATACATTATCATCAGTCCTTGATATCGTCGCCGGGTGCKCAGCCGTCGTAGGCTGTGCAAATGTAGTTGATGTTGTATTAGATTCACTCGTATTAGTAGCAGCAGTTTCAGATTTATTAGATGGCGTCAAAGTTGTACTATTCTGTTGCGCTGTTGATAATGTTGGACGTTTTCCTAACAACTGTTTTGTAGTTGTTTCCGATGTAGTACTCTCTGTGGATGATGCTCCTGCTATAGTAGTTGACCTTGTGGGTTCATTTGAAGACTTTGCTGTACTATTTCTCGATGTAATTGTTCGGTGAGTTAAAGGCATATCTATTGTAGTAGGTTGTTCTGTAGTTGGCACAGTTGTATCTTTACTTGACTGCGTTGCAGATATTTCTAATATGGATGTTTGTTGTGAAGCTGATAGTTTTGTTGTCGTAGGCTGCACTGTAGTTGATAGTCTTGTAGATTCATCAGTTGATTGCACTGTAGAGGTTATTTGTGTGGTAAGTGTGGACGATGTTGCGTGATGTTCTGTAGAAGGTTTTGAGGTTGGGATTATCTTTGGGAGCCAATACTCGTAGTCCGATTTCACATTATCACCTCCACTGAGTCGAGCCTAGAAGAAGACAATAAGATTGATTTTGAATCTTACACTTTTTCACACAATTAGGGACGGCTCACTCTGCTACACAAGCAGAAGCACAAGCCGAGAACAAAAGAAAAGACAAAGGAATGAATTGATAGTGCGCCGACGTAACGACATAATCATAACAAGTAACATAAGAAAAAGACATAAGCTAAAAAGGCAAAGAAATTAGAAAAAAAAAACACCCCTTCACTTTGTCTTCATTATCCATTATAATTCCTAACTCTATTATTGACTTTGAGCTTATCCTTATGTCGCAGTGCGAACCGGCCATTATGAATATTTTGCACTTGTTATTACATTATCAAMCTTTCTTTCTCTGAATTTTATCAAAACGAAACAGTAGTTGAGGCTCGTATGGTTCCTAAAAATGATGAATTRTTCTACAAAGGTGTGAAAAAAGATACCAAACAATGCAAGCACAATTGCTATTTCACATTCATACGAACATCAGGAGTTTCGGAGAACAACGCGCTSGTCATTTTGAAGAGTGAGGCCCGAATCCYTGTTGTGCCATAGAAAACATTTCGTRATTTCTAACTCAACTACTCATTATATCGTATTATATTAACTTGACATTAGCTTAGAAACTTTCGATTTCTTTAGGAGTTATAATTAAGTGATTCGAGTCCCATTTTTAAAGATGGCGGACGCACTGTTCTCAGAAACTCCTGATAAAGAATGGAAACTCTCAGCTACATTAAAAGATGGCGCTGCAAACATTAACGGTATTAAAYACCTGTTGACATCAGAGTATTAGACTCGTACCTAGTCGTTACCCTTCTTTTTTCTCTGGTGCGCGCAAACTATGGAATCGGACTTCCCTTTATGCAACGCAACCCGTAAAACCAGCAAGAGAAACGACTGGGTACGAGTCTGTTAGAGTATTGTGTCCTTACCATGACATGATACGGCTCTGTTGTGGGTCCCATGATCATAACCGCTTCGCGGGCGAATTCATCAGGAAGACGGGAATATTTGAAGTCAGTCCTGCCAATACGATACTTGCCGGGCGATGACACCTTTGTACCACCATTGAAAACATATTCGCCTGYTTGCCTCTTGATTGCTGCAATATCAATATACGAGCTTTGGCTTTTTAACATTGTGTACGGCTATTTCAGAAAACGTTAAATACTGCATAGTGTATTCCAAGACCGAAATGCATTTTCGCTATTAAACTCCACGTTATCCGTGTCATAAAATTACAATTTGAAACTTTATTGCTTTCCATTGAAGTTCTTGGCAGTACGGAGCTTTTACAGCACACTCTGAAACTACGAAATTCCGTTTGAACGACGATAGAGCGACCAACAATGCATCTTAGTCTTAATACACTTCCTTCAGTTTCAACGTGTTCTGAAACAGCGKTATACAAATTTAGTGRACGGGAATGTTATATAAAAATYTTCCATTGAAACAGGTATTTTTAGTTTTCACATAATGAGAATGTGAATCTACTTTTATTCAATAAACGTCTGACTTTCAGTGTAAACTTACCGATATAGTTTGTCGATGGTTCGTTGATGAGAATAGCTGTGGCATGGGCTGGTATGATGTAAAGAAGCGCAAAGCCTGGAATTAGAAACAACGAATCTTTAAATTCTAAACCATTACGATCCCATCTAATAATTGTGTTCCTTTATGAAGGATTTTCAAAAATGTCGGTAGTTCACGACCGTTATAGTGGAGGACCTAGTGATGAATCCTTATCTAAAAACGCCACGAAGATCGTATGTATGGCAGTGTCAAAGTTTGGAAGATGTATTGGTATGTCATTTATGACAAAACACTACTCTTGCAAAACACCACTAGAAGATAACTATACGGAGAATGGCCTTTGAGACCTCATTTAGCGCTTCGTCCCCAGTGCCCTGGTCGACGACCGAGATATTTCGCGCCGTTTTTGAAAATCGTGARTTTCAAACTCCGAGCTGTCCTTCCATGTGATCTCCTCAGCCTTGCAATCTTACAAGAGGAAAGAGACTACAAACCTGTCAAGCAAAAGTCAAGACCTTTCGCAAAATGAAAATCAAACAAAGCTCGCCAAATATTTGGTGTTAGAAATGTGTAGTTTACCATACCTATTGTTTTCTCCTCTGGAGTGGGCTTCCTGTCTACCATTCCAGAAAAAGGTTCACAAGACGAGCCGTTACCACCACAGACTTGACATTTATCCAATGTCCGCTGACTCCCAATTATTCGATCACATCCTATTGGCTGGAAATGGAAATCAGACATGTAGACTGTGCCTGTGTTCTTACATAGTTGGTTCTTATAAATGTATATAAATATCTAGTCTCCTGACAGCCGTTCTTAGTGGCGGGCTCCCTATCCCCTGCYCCACAAACGTGTCAGGAGAAGTGACAGTCCTTTTTGAGGCGGGAAACAGGGAGCCCGGGAATAAGAACAGCTACGAGCAGACTATCATACAAAACTTGGATACACGTAGCGCGCTACAGTGTCGACAAGTAGTAACAAGCAGTAAGCAAGGCATGACTCGAGCYCTCGAAAGTGCGAAAGTGGGAGGTATAAATTAATTTTTAGTGAGGAATACTAATGAGGCAAAAGTGATAGGGGAGGGGTGGTCAAAACGAGTAGGTGGCAATCATTATCATAATTCATTATCATAATCCAAAATACTATTAGGTGTTTGAGACTGACCAACTATCAGCTGATGATTTGATTCTTTCACTCTCTTCATTAGCCTTGTTGATAGAAGAATAAATATGACATTGACCAAAAATGTCTCCAATTAAACCTGTTTGTCTACAGGTTATCCACGAGTAAGTAACCGACGAGTCAATCCACGAGTAAGTGTCCTCTAAGCAGCTAAGGAAATAGATAGAAGAGAGCTTTCTTTCACCTGATTATYTTTTTATTAATTCTAAAATTGGGAAGCTGCTTTTAACAAAAGGTTCTTTTTGTTTTTTCCCATTTTTTTTCTTTTCTCCTTTTTCTTTCTTTTTTCTTTTGATACATAGACACTAACATGCAATGCCGCGCCAAGTTGACATGTCTTTGCGTGTAAGATAAAAATAGTTTTTCCGGGAAAGTCTCATACGCTCAGCAATACAATGGCGGAACTCAATCTGTTTGCGAACAATCTTCGAAGAGAACTCACTTGTTCCATATGTGGAGAGATCTTTACCAACCCGAAGACGTTAAGATGCCTGCACAGTTTCTGTTTGAAATGCATATCTGACTGGAACGCGTCGTGTAGACGAAAAAGACGACCACTAACGTGTCCTTCATGTCGGTCAATAGAGAGACTCGAAGGCAATGACGTGTCAAGTCTTCCTTMTTCGTTTCATCTTCAACCTCAACTGAAACTTCTTCAAGATATGAGAATAAGTGCAGACTTTCGAGAACAAAACAAACTGCCAGACTGCTACGTCCAAAATCGAATGTATTGTCAGAAAAGATATCACGACAAAAACAAGTTGGACTTTTACTGTACAACATGCAAAGAATGTATTTGTCTCAAATGTAACGCAACAGAACACAAACTACACCGCACAGTGACCGTCGAGGAAGCCGCAGAAGAAGTTAAAGTGTTAATAATTCGGGATATGGATCGAGTGAATAAAGTGAGAGAAAACTACGAAAAGACACTTGAACAGAACACACAGAATATGACAAGAATTGAACAAGAAACTAACGCAGCAATAAAGGAAGTCAGCGATGAAGTAGAGAAAAACATCAAAGTCTTGAAAGAACACAAAGCAGCTGTCATTGAAACCCTGCAAACTAAAGTTCAGAAACAGAAAACACAGAATGACGAAAAACAAAGAAAAATACGTGATGAAATCCAAAGACTTTCTGAATTTAACCTTCAAGGTCAGACATTGCTCGATGAAAATGTAGCACATTTTATTGTCAAAAGCCAGCATGATATCTCTCAAAGATGTGAAACGTTTCTCGAAGTACAATCAATATTGACCGGCAAATCAACTGAACGCAACGCAAGTGTACGGTACACACACAACCCTCAAGTCACGCAAGCCCTGAAGGTTATTGGAAAGGTTGTGGAGAGCTTTACAGATCAATCAGATTTGATTGATGTGAAAACTCGTGATGTCAGAAATGAATTTCAATCTGCGAAAACTCTTGAAGTAAAAGGAAAGGGGACAGGACCGTTATATTTTCCCGTGTCACTAGCAGTAAGTGATGAAGGAGAGGTAGCCATTGCTGACAGTATGAATCATCGCATTGTAATCTTCAGTGCTGATGGGAAACAATTGCGCCATTTTGGGAAAGAAGGAGCTGAACATGACCAACTTAAAGTGACATTTGGTGTAGCCTTTAACAAAGACCGTTTACTTGTTACAGATAATAACAATAGAGCCGGACGATTACAGGAGTTTTACTTGAATGGTACCTACTGCAGAACGTTTTACAAACAGAAAGGTGTTGAACTCTTTGGAATATGTACATCAAGTGATAGAATTGCAGTTTGTTATCATCATTATGTCCAAAAGAGAATGACTAGGTCAGGAATAAAAGTATTCAATAAGCAATCTGGTCAATTCATGCAAGAAATTCCCTCTGTAAAGAATACTGAAATGCCACGGCATATTGCATATGGTAACGGTAAATACTTTGTGTCATATTTAAAAGCAGACTTCATTCGTGTTTTTGACAGTAACGGCGCATTTCTCTATGCATTTGGAGAGAAAGGGATTGGAGATGGACAGTTCAACAGTCCACGTGGTTTTGCTGTTACAAGTGATGTAATCCTTGTTTGTGATCATATAAACGACCGAGTTCAGATGCTGAATCAAGATGGTAAGTTTATAAGGTCCTTTGGTAAACATGGCTCAAGTCTTGGTCAAATGGATTAYCCATTGGATGTCGCTGTTGCATCAGACGGCCAAGTCTTTGTACTTGTTGAACGGGACGATCACTGTGTTCAAGTGTGGCGATAAAAATTTTGAAAAAATGTAAATGTAATTCACAGTTACACTAATCTGAAAACAATATCCACGGATCTAAACAAATGAAAGAGAGGCTTTGAAAAAGAAAAATGATTTWAAAACTAGACGCTCATGGAGCGTTAACATGGGCTTCCTGTATGGTAACGTTAATCAGATGACTTCCCTGAAGTAGCGTCAATGATTTTTTTCATGTTGAACGGCAGTAAAGCTGTTATCCTTCACGAGTTTGTAAAGTTTCTTATGATTGTAGGAATAAAACAACACTCATTGTTTTCTCGTTCTTAAATCCTATTGTTTCCTTTTTTAACAAATAGCTAGTAAACCAATCGGATARGATCCTGCAAAACCGTGAAGTGTTACCCTTATGATAATGAATTGCCATCTACTCGTTTTGACCACCCCTCCCCTATCACATTTGCCTTATAAGTATTCCTCCCTAAAAAAATATAATTCATAACTCCCACTTTCAAGTCTCGAGTCATGCATTGCCTACTGCTGTGACGCTCATAACCCGGAATATGGTGTCAAAAATAAACTTAGAAACAGGAATTTTTAAGCAAAATATTTGGCGCTCTTCAAGTGGTGTTAGTCGGAGTCTCCATTTTAATTTGATTTCAACTCGGAAAAAAAATGCAGTCGAGCGACTGAGAATGCGACTACGAATGCGAGTTAAAAAAAGTGATAACTTTCCTAATTTCTAATAAGAATATGAAAGCTCAAACGGACATTTCATATTACTTAGAAGACCTGACGTTTATATGATTAACATACCTTACATTCACCAGCCACACAAACRCTGTAAGGCTTGCTTGCACACATGGTGCCGTCCTGAACTTTACCAAACCACATTGCAGTACGGAAACCAACTGGGTGACAAAACAAGGCACACTGATACATTCCTAATGAATGAGAAAAAAATTATTCAAGTCTTGGGCTTCCTTTGGTTTGAGAACGCGCGCGCGCAAAAGTTGTATTTTGGCGGGAAAACTAGCAGCTTGACACAGGATTTTACTAAAGTGTAAATTGAATGAGTGAATCACATGAATAAGCAAACAAAAAAAGCCGTGAAAGTAAACTTAAACATGCAATGAAAGAAACAAAATTTTATTYGGAATAAAATTGAAAATGAACAGTGGATTATGAACTGCAGTCTTTAGCTTACCTCTGAATATAGACTTAAATTTGACTTTCTTTCCTTTCATAGTTATATTTCTAGAATTTTCCCTCGAGCACTGGACGTCACGAAAATCAATGGCGTTTAAGGGACATAGCTTCGAAAAGAAAAGACACATTTAATGGTTATGAATAACAATATTAATCAATGAATAATTTCAGGTTACTGCGATTCAAAACAAAAGAGACCAATCCTGTATTCATTTTCGCAACAAATTAGATGCATCATGCATGTACGCAATTTGAAAATAATGTGAGCTGTTTTCCATTTAGGTTGCAATTAACCTTACGGAAGGTACGGCCCATTAACCACATGAGAACATTTCAGTACCTCCTGCGTACACTTTCAAGTAAACCCGAMACTATTAACCGTCAAATCTCACATGTACCGAAGTAAATGCAAATCAWATGGTGACTGACGGTACAAAAGAATGTCGGTAATTATTATATGAGATTCTGCTTTTGAAATGACTTTTACTACATCGTTGAAATCATCAACATACATCGGCCTAATCTAAAGAAGAATCGCAAGCAATTAAAGCCGTGAACACTACTTAAGGGTTGAAYGAAGAGATTGAATGAATGTACTTGTTCAAATCAAATGTGCGAATGTTATCATAACGCATTGGTGTGGTTTATAAGGTCATGTGCTAGCTTTCCTGTAGGGCGTGGGAACCAGTTATACGGTCACGTGACCGTCGTAAAGGACGATTTCAATTAGACTATCTTACTAGCATAACGTATTTTGGCCATTAGCATGCAATAACTTTGATCAACTGCCATTCAGTCTGAATCAAAATGCCCGTTGATGTATGTGATTRTGCGTGTGAATGTGAACGTACCTCATTGTTGCATGTTCTGTACTGTCGAGGTATCCGACATGCCCTTCTGTTTCTAGTCATGAAAGAAGAAAAGACATTCAATTGATATGATGCTCGGCTGACATGAGTAAAGATGATTTCCCTGAAATCGGTGGAAATTCAAACTTCTGGAGCAAATATAAAAAAAGTACTGAAGAAGGTGGATGATTAGTATAGCAACTATTCTTAGTGCTTTATCATTGATCAAATTGCCATTGCGCATGCTCTTACCTGTAACAYTTCCGTCCTCTGAACTGAATTCCTGTACCACACGTTCGAGAGCACTTACTCCATGGACTCCACTCCGATAGAAACTCCATATCACCTTTGATTTGGATGTCTTTCGAGTCCTTATCAGCCGACACACCCTGAAAACACGAAGCAAAAACCTAAGTTTAGTGAAAAAGGAAAGATAGTGTTATGTTATGTTCAAAGGAATGCATATCATTTTTGAAAGGRAAATGGTATACTTTAAAGCACAAGAAATGACCTTTATAATGTCTACACGATTATGTCGAGACGCTCCCCTGTTGAGTCTTCTCGTTCGTTATGCTAAGCACTTAAATTCATAATTCATAGAGGGGGCAACCTTAATGTTTGCACTGTGGTTTCACAGCGAAGTATGGATATTGCATGATGCATATCATTTTACGGTGTGATATGAAAAATGTTGCATAAAGAAGAGTAGCGTCTTTGGTCAATCACAAGTATGGCTCGTAACCAGTCTCCTTTTTTTCTGGCGCGCGCAAAGGATCAAGGGAAGTGGTAGTTCGGACTTCTTTTGATGCAATATGACCCGTAAAACGAGCAAGAGAAACGACTGGGTACGAGTCTGATTTTCAGCATTTATAATATATATTGTTTTGATTTTTGGTGTAAACAGAATAGCTTCAGCTATGCAAGCGATCATTTGATTGCTTGATGGATTGTTTGTTTTGATCGGTCTTACAAACATGCAAAGATGAACAMTTGATCTTCTAAAACATAAATGATTATTAAGATGTCAAGGGTCCTTACAGTCAATATGTTCAACAAATGCGATTATCCACTAAAGACGTTATTACGACGAGCGCATTTGTTAAATTGCATAATTCTTTGCAAATTGAATGGCCATCTTGAATTGTCAGGAGAGAGTTGCTAAGGCTGATTTACACGGCACGATTGTCTCGTGCGATTTGTAGTATATACGACTTGAATTGCGCAGTGTAAATGCCCCTACGACTTGTCTACAACAGTCGTACGCAACCTACGACTTGTAGTAGGACTTTGAACCACTGCTTAAAATCCTACGACTTGTAGTAGGAAAATCGTATACTACAAGTCGCGCGCGACAAATCGTACTGTGTAAATCAGCCTTTAATTTGCTATTTGTTTTGTTTTTATATTGGTGTAGTAAGCCTGAAACCGTTTAACGTGTCTGAGGCCCCAAGTATAACAGCACTTGGCACCGTAAAGAAACCATGAGAAAAAATACAATTCGACCTCTGATAGCCAAGATACGAGACATCAGGGTAAAGGTTGCCTAAGGGTAAAGGGTTAAATTTCGTCTCGTCTAAAAAAAGAGGAAAATACTAGAAAACAAAATTCGTGAACAAAAAGATGCAGACTTTATGGAAGTTCTTTGGTTTCTTATCGGATTTTTTATAAGGCATGAACTCGTAATTGTTTCTGTTATCGCATTCTTAATGTTTTTTGGGTTACGATATTGTATCAATCAATGTAATCCAGTATGTGCAGCATATGTGGAAACAATAATACACTATCCTTTTTGCGGCAACCCTAGGGCAGTGTGTTCTCTATTGCGTATAATTCATCGCAGAAGAATTAGAAAAGGAGCAGGCGTGCTATATATTCATGTTTCTTCACTTGGATTGTGGTTGAAATGTGTCAACTGACATGCGCATTAATACTGATTATACTGCATTTGCGGTCGAATTTCCCGATTTTTTTTTCAAATTTCAAACTTTATTTTTTCAAATGTAAATGTTATAAAAAAACCTGTGATATACTATACCGCAATGCTACTGCAAGGCGCAATTAACCATCTATGAATCATCAGAGTCCCAAGAACTGTATCTTACAACTGTTATTACATTAGAAGCCGATTTTCTTCCGAGCAAAKCCCGATTTTTTTCCAAAATATCTCGATTTTCAAATGAATTTCATTTTTTAAACGGCTTCAAAATGTTAAAAAAAACATGGAAGTTTTTTTTTTGCTGGCTTAGCTTAACATATACTTTCATGCAGCGAGCCCATCAGCGTCTTGACCATCAGCTGGACATCAAGAGTGTTTCAAAAGAAAACATACACTTCGGAATCGTCCGTTATTAAAAATGGACCAAAATATAATTGAGAAGCGTATTGAGTGCTTAATCATGGTATGTGTGTCTTCTTGATTGACGAAAAAAACTGGAAAAAATATAAATGAATAAATGAAATAAAATTGAAAATGATATTGATCACTACTTGGTTTTAAGGTCATCTTACATCATGATGAAAAAATGAGAACCATGTACTTGTAGTTATCGTAAGTCTTTCATTACAAAATATTATACAAATTCCACATYCGACAGAAACCGGCAAAAAGGTGCTGAAATGCTACTGTAGGCAATTTTAATTAAAACCGTCTATGCTTATAAGAGCCCCAAGGACAATATTTTTAAGACTGATTAAAAGCCGATTTTCCCCCGTTTTTTCCCGAAATATCTCGATTTTTAAAGGAATTTGATTTTTTTAAAGGATTCAAACTGTTTAAAAAATATGTAGGTTTTTTTTTGTTGCATAACGATATTTTTAACACTGATTAGAAGCCAATTTTCCCTCGAGCAAATCCCGATTTCCTTCCGAAATATCTCGATTTTCGAAAGATTTTTTTAAAGGGACACCAACAGGAGTAACCTCACAAGAACTTTTGCCTCTTGAGCATCCCGTATTTTTTTTACATAATTCAAGTTATATTGATTGGGTAACACAAGATGTCTACTCCCTCCTACACAAAAAGGAAAAGGCAAGATTACATTAAGTTGGTGCTGAATGATCGCAATTTTGCGGAAAGCAATAAATTGCTAGTTAAGCACGTGAATTTCCTTTTTGAAGCGCAGAATTCAACCACGCRACATACCTACCCCTCCCCACGGTCCCCTCCCCCACATAAAGGAAATTCAGAAACCTAAAAACAGATCGGTTTTGTGGCAACATGGAAATAGTCTTGACCTTGGTGAAAAGCAACAACTTAATCAACTTCACATGAATTTACTACARTTTGWAGTGTAGAAGTGAACCACAATGTAATTTATAAAGACGTTAGCGGTCTCTTTGGTGTCCGCTAAATTATGATCTATCTTTTGAAAAAAAACAGTTATAAAGTAATTTCTTTCAAGGAAAGAAGTGTTAGATATCTCTGGCTAGCCTGTGTGCATCCGTTTCTCATCTTTCCCCGATTTTTTTTTGAGGGCCTTGCTTTTAAAGTAATAACATTTTCTACACGATACATTCTTGATACATGCTGCCAAAAACTACATACACGATTAAAAAAATTGGTGTCGAGTACATGGGAAGTACTGCTAGAATATTTTTGCTCCATAATATGCTTGAGTGATAAACAAATTTTTATATTCATAGGTATATGCCGCAGAATGAGGCTGAACCGAAAACACGATGCTCTAGAAATGCAATTTCCTATAGCCAACGTTTCGGCCTCGACTTCTAGCAAGACCATTGAACTCGTTTTCATGAACAGCATTCTATTCGCAGTTTAGTTTTTCAGAGTGKACCGAGCAACAAAAATTGTTTTTCTATAAAATGACATATTGTATTACTATGTGACTATAAAATTTCCCTTRCTTGGGTAAAAGTAAGGACCTTTTGTTATTGTTCTCTTGCTGTTGGTCATTGTTTGCTTGTTTATTATTTGTCGTTGTCGTTGTCGATTCTCGTCACTTAAACTGAGTGTGGCCATCGCATTAAGCGTTCGCGCCATCAAAAAGTAAAAACATGAACACTTTAAAACCGCAAAAATTACTGTTCATTAGAGTAAAGTTGCGCAAAAATCAAATAACCGCAGCAAACACGACCGCTTTTTAGTGATCTGTCAAATAGACAAATACGTTAGAATACATTGCAAAGATAAATGCGGCTMACGCGGTTGAATAACGCATCTACCATGAACTAAACGCTTCCATATACCAAACGTATCCGCAAAAACTTCCCATAGACAACAATGACTACCGCAAAGCTATGTATGGYGATGGCGGAAACGACCAACCAAAAGCGCTGACAGAGAAAAACCCTCAAAAACTAATACAGCATTTTCCGATTTTGCTGATCAAATCTATCAATATAACAGATTGAAGACGAGAAATTAAAAACTTTGCTATATACGGGTTTTCAAAGATAATAGGGCCAATTGTTRTTATTAGTAGGATCGCACTCGACAAATGTCGTGATTTTTTGCAGTCGCGACTCAGCAACTTACAYATGACGTAACGTATCGATTGCCAAATATCTGAGCAGCGTGAGACCGACGGAAACACGAGAGAAATCCCCTTATTTTAATTCTATATCCATGGATATATCTCTT